TCTGTTCTAGTACTATACAGAATACATTACGCCCATTGTCCTTGGTGGCAGAGGATGCTCTGTAATTATTGAGGATATCCCATGCTATTTCTAGTTTTCAGAGGGTTGAGGCAGGAAGAATTGCTTGAACCCGGGAGGTGCAGAGGTTGGTCAGTGAGCTGAGATCACTGGCCAAGTGCACCTCCAGCCTGGGCAACAGAGCGAGATTCTATCTCAAAAAATATAATAATATGATTTACGGCACATTGAGATTATTATTGGTAAAGGCAGGATGGCTTTAATTTTTTGATGATAGCAATAAATATCTGTGCACAAACAGACTCACAGGGGACATTTTCAAGTTTTTGTGGGGTTTTTTGTTATTTTTGGAGTTTTATTTTAGAGAGCCTTTTCAGGGATAATACAATAAGTTGCTAGTTAATTGCATTTTCTTAACATGGTTAAGATTATTTTATCTTCAGGTTTTATAACTAACAGTCCAAATTGGCTGGGTGCGTGGCTCACACCTGTAATCCCAGCAGCTTTTGGAGGACCGAGGTGGGCAGGTCGCACTGAGGTCAGGAGTTTGAGACCAGCCTGGCCAATATGGTGAAACCCTGTCTCTACTAAAAAAACAAAATTAGCCAGGTGTGGTGGCGCAATGCCTGTAGTCCCAGCTAAACCTAGCAGGGAAGCTGAGGCAGGAGAAATCGCTCAAGGAACCCGAGAGGCATGGAGGCTGCGCGTAGTAAGAGCCGAGATCGGCTTCCATTGCACTCCAGCCTAGGGCAACGAGTGAGACTTTTTCCTTGTCTCCATAAAATATAAAAAATACAATGAAAGGCAAATTAGCTCACAGAACAGTTTTCGGACATTACATCGGGTATCGAGATGGCCTCATTAATAATTTGGTCTAATTATAAAGTTGTTGTCATAACAAGTAGTTTTAAGCCCACCAATGATGTAAAAGGTAACCATTTTGCTTCCATGATTTTTTTTTAAAATGTAAAGCCAAGATCAAGAAAGTTCTAAGTGATGAAAGAGTCTCCAAAATGAAATTTTCAAATCTACCTGAAGGGGTCAACCTTTTTTATCTCTGCTAAGAGCGGTGAGTGTTATTGATGATGAACTGATTTTTTTTAAACTTAATATTTAACAAGCTGTTGCTTATGAATTATATAATGTCTAGAACAGTTTTACCAACCATGTCTTTTTAAAATTTTTATTTTCCTTAAGAGGCAGCACAAAGTCTCGCTATGGTGTCCAGGCTGGTCTTGACTCCTGGGCCTCCAAGCGATACATCCCACCTCGGCCTCCTGAGTAGCTTGGGATTACAAGCAAGGCGTCACCACACCCAGCCACAACTGTCCTTTTTAAAGCAATGAAGGCTGGTATGCCTGCTGTCCATTTTCTCCTCCCTGTTTGGAGTTTCAAGTTCAAGCGTGAACCTTGCCGGTGCTGACTCCAGTCTGTGAGGGCAGAGGTCGGGGTGGAAACAGCTGGCCTCCCACTGGGCCCTGCACGCCCATCTCAGAGTCTGCTGCCTGTTGACTGTATTGTTTCTTCCAGGCGACTTTTTCATCTCTCCAGGGTCCTCATTCTCTTGAGTTTTAAAGGTGCTCAAATTAAAACCAACAAACAATCCTTATTCCACTTCCATCGTCCTCCTCTTTCATTTTATGTTTTCCTTTATCCTGGAAGATGGCTCTCGAGGCCTCTCTCTCTGCTGACTGCACTTCCTCCCTTCTGTTTTGATATCCTCAGCCCTGTCCTGCATGAACTTCTAAGCCTCAGCGGCGCTGCCTCCCTTTCCTCAAGGGTTCTGCGCAAGTGATGATCAATGTCATGGGAATTTTCGCTGTCACTTTGCTGGGCCTTGCCCAGTTTGCCATGTGGCCTTGTTTTCCATGATTAAACCAAGCCGCGCTGGTGTTTACCCCCTTTTCCTTTTCTTTTTTTTTTGGGAGACAAGGTCTTACTATTGTCAGCCCGGAACGGGAGTGCAGTGGTAGCCATCGATAGCTCAGCCTGCAAGCCCTCCGCCTCCCTGGTTCGAGCCAATTCTCCTGGCTCAGCCTCAGCTAGTAAGCCTGGGATTAAGCAACCTGTCACTTGTCCTTGTTATTCTGTTTAGTAGAGAAGGGGTTTCCATCATGTTGGCGCAGGGTGGTCTCGAACCTCCTAAACGCTCCAAGTGATCTGCCCCACACCTCGGCCTCCCAACAGTGCTGAGATTACAGGTGTGAAAGCCCCCAACCACGCGCCTGGCTTTTTTTTTTTTTTAAAGAGGTGGAGGTTCTTGCTATGTTGCCCAGGCCTGGTGCTTGCACCTCCCTGGATCAAGAAGCTCGCTGGGTCTGAACGCCTCGGGCCTCCCAAAAAAGTTGCTGAGGTTACAGGTAGGAGCCCCCAACCGGGCGCCCTCGGCTTTTTTTTTTTTTTTTTTTTTTTTTAAAGGATGGGGGGTCTTGCTGTGTTGCCCAGGCTGGTCTTGAAACCTCGCTGGGCCAAGGCGATCCCTCCCGCTTTGGTGTCCCAAAGCCTTGGGATTAGCAGGTGTGAGCCACCGTGCCTGGCGACTTCCCCGCTTTTCTGACCGGTGTCTCTCTCCTGTGCCGGGCCACCACTCAGTGGTGAAGCTTTAAAAGGCTCCCCATCCCCAGGGCCCTTGTCCTCTCCGAGGCCTTCCCCCTGTGTAAGTCTGGCAGGCTACAGTGCCCTGTCATTTCCCGTCACTCTCCTCTAAATGGAGCGTTCCCATCGGCCACACATGTGGCTCCATATGCCCCAGTTAGGAAAAATCTCCTTCCTCCTCCAGGCTGGGCGGGCCGTGGCTCAGGCCCTGTAATCCCAGCAGCTTTGGGAATGCCGAGGCGGGTGGATCCCCGAGGTCAAGGAGCTTCGCCAGCACGGCCAACATAGGCGAAAGCTCCATCTCTACTAAAAATAAAAAAACTAGCCCGGGTGTGGCTGGCGCACGCCCTGTAGTCCCAGGTACTCAGGGCTTGAGGTGGGAGAACTGCCTTGAACCACAGAGGCAGAGGTTTTGGCAGTGAGCGCCTGAGACCACGCCAGCTCCCCCTCCCAGCCTGGGCGACAGAGTTGAGCTGAGACCATGCGCTGGCCCCTCCAGCCTGGGCCAACAGAGTGAGCCGAGAACCGACGCCAGTGCACTCCTGCAAGCTCCCCAGGCTGGGTGAGCAGAGTGAGCTGAGACCACGCACTGCCTCCAGCCTGGGCGACAGAGTGAGAGCCTACTCCGTCTCAAAAAAAAAAAAAATAAAAAAGGAAGGAAAATCTCTTCCCTCACCTTCCCCCTCCTAGATCCCACCTTTCCTTTCCCTGCTCCCTTTGCTGATGCATCTTTAGGGGAGCTGTATACAATGGCAACGCCTTCTCCGGGATCCTCTCCTGTGTCTTCTTAGCTTGCTCCACGTGGCCACATTGGCCCCTCCCCAGGCCACTGAGAGGCCCTCTTCATCAAGCAGTGCCTGCCACGTTGCCCACCACCAGGAATCCGTGCGTCCCTTTGAACCTATCCTCTTTCCCATAGTCAGGAAAACTGTCAGCTTCTTGAAAACACCTCTCGCGTTGCGGCCTTCCTGCGACCCCTCCAATGTCTTTTGGTTTCTTCTCCCATCTGTGCCGGGCGAATCTTGTGGGTTGTCAATTTTCTGCCCGCAGAGCTCGGCATCCCAGCAAGAGAGCAGGGCGTTCCCCTGGCAGTGCCGTAACAAGATACACAGTTCCTGGAAGCAGAACTAGAAAACCTGGAAGTGGAACCCCTGCTAATGGCTTTTCCTGTTGATCTGGATTTCTCTAGTCGCGCAGCTCCGCAGGCTGGTTTTGCCCTGGAATCTCTCTGGTCATTCCCTTAAGTCAGGCCAGGCCTGTTGGCTCCTCGCCCTGTCTCCTGTCAAGGACCCTTCAACCCACGTGGCCATCTCTTCGCAGTACACATTTCATCTGATTGTTGCATGTGGGCCAGATTCTCTCTAGGAGGGAAGCCAGGCCCAGGAAGGTTAAATAACTTGGCCACAGCTGCATTAGCAGTAAGTTGTGGAGCGGGGGGTTTGTGCCCAGGCAGTTTGACTCCAGAATTAGCATTGGTTACCGCAAGCGCTGCTTCTTCCCACTTATGAGGTCTAAGTGACAGGAAGGGCGTCTGGCCGGGGTGGGGCCCTGGCGTTTATTCTGGGTGAGGTGGGATGGGATGGGACAGCGTCTGAGCAGAGGCGTCAGGAGGCTCTGTGGCTTCACTGTTGAGAAACCAGCGAGGAAGCTCTTGGAACCATCCCGGTGGGAGGCGATGGTGACTGGGACTAAGGTGGGCTGAGGTCTGAGGTGTTTTGAAGGCTGCGGGGGTTGAGAGGGAAGGAGAAGGCAAAGATGAGTCCACGATGTTTTGGCTGAGCATTGGAAGAATAGAGTGGCCATTTAAGATGATGTGGAAGACGGAGGCAGGGGGCTGAGTTTGGGGAGCAAAATTAAGTGGTTGATTTTGGACAAATTAAGCTTAAGGTGCCTGAATTGAGGCCCAAGTAGCACAGCCAGAGGCAAGACTGGAGTTCAAGGACTGCTGGAGGTGGAAATGTGGGAGTCAGGGCATACACGTAATTAGAGCCATTAGGTAACATTTTGCTTCATGATTTTTTTTAAATGTAAAAGCCCAAGATCAAGAAGTCTCTAAGTGATGAAAGAGTCTCCAAAATGAATTTTCAATCTACTGGAAAAGGGGTCACCTTTTTTTCATCTGAGAGCGGTGAGTGTTTTAATGATAGAACCTTAATATTTACAAACTGTTGCTTATGAATTATATAATGTCTAGACAGTTTTACAACCATCTTTTTTAAATTTTTATTTTCTTAGAGGCAGAGTCTCGCTATGGTGTCCAGGCTGGTCTTGAACTCCTGGGCTCAAGCGATCCTCCCACCTCGGCCTCCTGAGTAGCTGGGATTACAAGCAGGCGTCACCACACCCAGCACAACTGTCTTTTTAAACAATGAGGCTGGTATAGCTGCTTCCATTTCTCCTCCCTGGTTTGGAGTTCAAGTTCAAGGCGTGACCTTGCGGTGCTGACTCAGTCTGTGAGGGCAGAGGTCGGGGATGGGACAGCTGGGCCTCCCCTGGGCCCTGCACGCCCATCTCAGAGTCTGCTGCTGTTGACTGTATTGTTTCTTCCAGGCGACTTTTCTCTCTCCAGGGTCTCATTCTCTTTGAGTTTTAAAGGTGCTCAAATTAAAACCAACAAACAATCCTTATTCACTTCCTCATCCTCCTCTTTCATTATGTTTTCCTTTATCCTGGGAAGATGGCTCTCGAGGCCTCTCTCTCTGCTGACTGCACTTCCTCCCTTCTGGTTTGATTCCTCAGCCCTGTCTGCATGAACTTCTAACCTCACGCCTCTCCTTTCCTCGGGGTCATCCAGTGATGATCAATGTCATGGGAATTTTCCGCTGTCACTTTGCTGGCCTTGCCAGTTGCATGTGGCCTTGTTTCCATGATTAAACAAGCCCTGGTGTTTCCCCCTTTTCTTTTTCTTTCTTTCTTTTGGAGACAAGGTCTTACTTTGTCACCAGGATGGGAGTGCAGTGGTGCCATCATAGCTCTGCAACCTCCGCCTCCTCGGTTCAAGCAATTCTCCTGCCTCAGCCTCGCTAGTAGCTGGGATTACAGGCACCCGTCACTGCACCTTGTATTTTTAGTAGAGAAGGGGTTTCATCATGTTGGGCCAGGGTGGTCTCCAACTCCTAACCTCAGGTGATCTGCCCACCTCAGCCTCAAAGTGCTGAGATTACAGGTGTGAGCCCAACCACGCCTGGCTTTTTTTTTTTTTTAAAGAGGTGAGGTCTTGCTATGTTGCCCAGGCTGGTCTTGCACTCCTGGATCCAAGAACTCCTGGGTCTGAACGCCTCGGCCTCCCAAAGTGCTGAGGTTACAGGTAGGAGCCCAACCGCGCCTGGCCTTTTTTTTTTTTTTTTTTAAAGAGGTGGGGTCTTGCTGTGTTGCCCAGGCTGGTCTTGAACTCCTGGGCCCAAGTGATCCTCCCGCCTTGGTGTCCCAAAGCCCTGGGATTACAGGTGTGAGCCACCGTGCCTGGCCTTCCCCCTTTTCTGACGGTGTCTCTCTCTGGCCGGCCACCCACTCAGTGGTGAACTTTTAAAGGCTCCATCCCAGGCCCTTGTCCTCTCCGAGGCCTCCCCTGTGTATCGGCACTACAGTGCCTGTCATTTCCCGTCACTCCTCCTCTAATGGAGCGTTCCCATCGGCACACATGTGCTCCATATGCCCAGTTAGGAAAATCTCTTCTCTCAGCTGGGCGCCGTGGCTCAGGCCTGTAATCCCAGCACTTTGGGATGCCGAGGCGGGTGGATCCCGAGGTCAGGAGTTCGAGACCAGCACGGCCAACATAGCGAAACTCCATCTCTACTAAAAATAAAAAAACTAGCCGGGTGTGGTGGCGCACGCCTGTAGTCCCAGGTACTCAGGGCTGAGGTGGGAGAACTGCTTGAACCCCAGAGGCAGAGGTTGCAGTGAGCTGAGACCACGCCACTCCCCTCCAGCCTGGGCGACAGAGTGAGCTGAGACCATGCCGCTGCCCTCCAGCCTGGGCAACAGAGTGAGCCGAGACCACGCCAGTGCACTCCAGCCTGGGTGACAGAGTGAGCTGAGACCACGCCACTGCCCTCCAGCCTGGGCGACAGAGTGAGACTCCGTCTCAAAAAAAAAAAAATAAAAAAGGAAAGGAAAATCTCTTCCCTCACCTTCCCCTCTAGATCCCACTTTCCTTCCCTGCTCCCTTTGCTGATGCATCTTAGGGAGCTGTATACATGCAACGCCTTCTCCGGGACCTCTCCTGTGTCTTCTTAGCTTGCTCCACGTGGCACTGCCCTCCCCAGGCCACTGAAGGCCCCTCTTCATCAAGCAGTGCCTCCACGTTGCCACCCCCAGGAATCCTGCTGTCACTTGAACCTATCTCTCCATAGTCAGGAAAACTGTCAGCTTCTTGAAACACTCTTCGCGTTCGGCCTCTGCGACCCCTCAATGTCTTTGGTTTCTTCTCCATCTGGCGCGAATCTGTGGGTTGTCATTTTCTCCCGCAGAGCTCGGCATCCCAGCAGAGACAGGGCGTTCCTGCAGTGCCGTAACAAGATACACAGTTCCTGGAACAGAACTAGAACTGGAAGTGGAACCCCAGCTAATGTGCTTTCCTGTTGATCTGATTATCTCTAGTCCCAGCTCCAGCTGGATTTTGCCCTGGATCTCTCTGGTCATTCCTTAAGTCACCAGGCCTGTGGCTCCTGCCCTGTCTCCTGTCAAGGACCCCCTTCACCCACGTGGCATCTCTTCCAGTACCATTTCATCTGACTGTTGCATGTGGCAGCCGTGACTTACTGTCCTCCAGCTTGTAGGTGTCTAGTTGAGAGTTCATGAATGAACATAAGACAATGTTGCCGCCAGGTGCAGTGGCTCACAGCTGTAAGCCCAGAACTCTGGGAGGCCACGGCAGGAGGATCACTTGTGCCCAGGAGTCTGAGACCAGCCTGGGCAACATAGCAAGCCCCTGTCTCTACAAAAAAAAGCAAAATTCACCAGGTATGGTGGCACACTCCTGTACGCCCAGCAGCTTGGGAGCCTGAGGCAGGATTGACTCAGGAGCTTGAGGCTGCAGTGAGCCATGATTGCACCACTGCACTCCAGCCTGGGTGCCAGAGCGAGACCCTGTCTCCAAGCGAAAAAAAGGAATCTTCCTTCACACTCAGTCTTGTTCCTACCTTAGAGTCCTGGATTGCATATAATTTGATTTTCTGAATTTTAAAATCTTCCAAGTAACCTGGATAACCGGAATTGCTTAAAAAGATGGAAAACATTGTGGTAGTTTAAGATTTAGAGATTCTTTAGCCTAGACAAGAAAGATAGAGAGGGGTAACTGTAACTACTAGGAACTTCCTTTTGTGAGAGTGACCGGTTGTCTAGTTCTCCAGGAGAGAGGATTCACTCAGGTACACAGCTATCCTTGTCGTAAAGGGGTTTCAAACTCTGAATAAATACAAGATGTCGAATAGTTTGTCCCCAAGACCTAGGCCGGGTGCGGTGACTCACGCCTGCAATCCCAGCACTTTGGGAGGCCAAGACGGGAGGATCACTAGAGCTCAGGAATTTGAGGCCACGGGCAACATAGCGAAACCTTGTCTCTACAACAAAAACAATGATTAGCTGGGCGTGGTGGCACCCGCCTGTGGTCCCAGCTACTTGGGAGGCTGAGGTGGGAGGATCATCTGAGCCCAGGAGATGGAGGCTGCAGTGAGCCATGATGGTGCCCCTGCACTGCAGCCTGGATGACAGAGCGAGATCTTGTCTCACAACTAAAAATATTAGCCTTGTGTGTGGCGCATTGCTCTCTTCTCAGCTGTCAGGGAGGCTAAGATGGGAGGATCACTTGAGCCCAGGAGTTCCTCCAGGCTTCGGTGAGCCATGGTCATGCCACTGTACTCCAGCCTGGGCAACAGAGTGAGACCTTGTCTCCAAAAAAAAAAAAAAAAAAAAAAAAAAAAAAAACAAGGATTTATTATTCTTGAAAACATGGAAAATTAAAATATCAGAAAACCCACATTCTTAAGATATTTAGAAAAAAAAAAAGAGGTGGCCAGGTGCAGTGGGACTCCGTCTCAAAAAAAAAAAAAAAAATTAGCGGGTATGTGACACATGCCGTGCACTGCCTTGGTGACACATGCCTGTGGGCTCAGCTACTCGAGAGGCTGAGGTGGGAAGACTGCTTGAGCTAGGAGTTGGAGGCTGTGGTGAGCTATGATTGCACCACTGCACTCTAGCCTGTGTGACAAAGTGAGACCCCTGTCTCCAAAAAGGGGACATTTCTTAATACACAGTAAAGTTATTATTATTATTATTTTTTAGCATTGTAGAAAATAATTTTCTTTGGCGCCCATTGTCAAGTTTCCTGTGCTAAGAGAAAGTCCCGTCAGTTTTCCAAGAAAGAGAAAAGGGACCAAATGTTGAAAATGTTGAAGGCACCTGTTACAATCTCAGCAGACATTTGTTCTATTTCTCACGTTTCTATTTTTTAACCAGGTTTAATACAGTGAAAAACAACTTTTCCGTATCAGCAGCATTAAAATTCTCCTGAAATACCAAATCCTACTTACCGTTTACTTCAATCAGGTTTGCATTTTTTTGATTCAAAATAACATAGAGCTCCCGCCGATCAGACTTCTTTCCAACAACCCAGTAATCACTCATGGCCTTCACGATGATCTCCTCATCCTCATCCACTCTGACAGAGGAGAGTTCAGAACGCGCCGT